TTTTCAGAGGCTCTGGGTGCGAAGGTCTCCGCGGGGACCCAGGAAGTCGGCGAGGACTCTGTCTGCCGTGGACGTGGCTCTGGCCGGACGGGGTGGGAAGTCTGAGGCTCGCTGGGTGGGAGGCTGTGTTCTCCACGCCACATGGCTGCGAGCGCCTCCACGGGGACGAGGGGAGAGACCGCGTTGCTCATGAGGGTGCCCGTGGCCCAGGCGCCCCAAGGGGGGGAGCCGCTCCAGGTGGCATGGCCTGGGGTCGGAGGGCAGGGCCACGCTGGGTTGCAACGGAAGACACAGGCTTCGTGCTGCTCTCTAGGGACAGAGTGTGTAAGTCTGTCTTCAGATGGAAGCGGTTCAGCGCAAAAGCAGAGCGTCTGCCAGGCAGTTCTACCACAGCCTCGTAAACCTCCTGGCACTGCGGGCAGCGAAGCAGTTCTTGTGGGAAGGGTCCCTGGCGCCTCCTGCAGGCCGGCGATGGGGTTTACACCCGTTTCAGGATCAAGGACATGAAAGCTCAGCTCCTAGCTTAGCCAGTGGTGCCAGGGATGCTCTGAACAGAATGCGCCGAGGCACGGCCCCTTTTACGCCTGAGATGCCGATTAGGTTTTGACGATGGAGAGTTCACGCCTCCTGGTGACAGGAACGCACTGTACGGCGGGGCTGGGCGCGTATGAGAGCTGTTTCCCCATCGAGTTAGCAGAGAGCCTGACAGGGCTCTAAAGACGAAGCTTATCTGAAAAGAGAAGACGCCGCCGCCTGATCCAGCCTCGCAGAGAGGTCTGTGCGCAGAGAGGCCGTCGCGATCACACGTTTCTGCCGCTTCTGCGTGGCGACATCCGCGTTCCCCGGTGCCCTGTTCTCTCGCAGGGACGGGTGGTGGGGACTACAACATTCTTTCCTTGGTGGAGTGTGGGGTGGACGAGGTCAGAGGACGTCCTGTGTGTGTGTGTGGGGGGGGCCCTTAGGGGGGACAATGAGAAGGCAAGGCGGTGGCCCCTCCCCGGGAGGCCGGTCAGGAGCCCCGCAGGACCGAGCCGGCGGGACACACTGTGGATCTAGGTCAACCGTGGGCAAACTACGGCCCGCGGGCCAGATCCGGCTCGTTTGAAATGAATAAAACTAAAAAAAAAAAAAAAAAGACCGTACCCTTTTATGTAATGATGTTTACTTTGAATTTATATTAGTTCATACAAACACTCCATCCATGCTTTTGTTCCGGCCCTCCGGTCCAGTTTAAGAACCCATTGTGGCCCTCGAGTCAAAAAGTTTGCCCACCCCTGCGTCTTACTGCAACCTCATGGGCAGATTTTGCAGAAACACGTTTGGGCCAACAGATTGCAGATTAGGGGCTGGCGTCAGTCCGACAGTCGCTGACAACATTCTAAACAGGATTTCACGTGGGATCATGGCACACCCCCAGGCGAAGGTTCCCATGGCAACGCTCACACGCCACCTCGTGCCAAAGCTGACCCCTGGGCCGCGGGGCTCGCATGGTGATGAACGGCCGGGTCTGGGCCGAGGGGCACGGCCATCGGTGTCTTTGGGAATGCCCTCGTGTCCGATGCCTTTTCCAGGTGGAGTGAGCTTCAACCCCAGGACTGCCTGAGACCGTGGCCGCGTTAGGATGTGACCGGAATGAGGAGCTGAAGACGACGACCAGCCAGCCTGTCAGAGGCTCCTGGGTGTGAGCGATGCGGGCAGCTGGGAGGCGGGAGCTGCGAAGGCTCTGAAGTCCCTTAGCTGCCCGCTCACGGGACCCCTCCGCCTCCGGGCCCGCGGTGCTCTCCCCCGGGCGCGGGCACTTACGGAAACGAGGACAGAATGACGCTGGGCGCGTGTGTCCTCGGGGTTGGTTTGAGGAGAGCAAACTGGCCGTGGACGGTCATGCGACCACCAGCGGGTCCCAGAGCGGCTCTGGCTCCACTGGGCACGGTGTCAGGACACTTTCCGCGTCCCCCGTCCCTGGAGGTGCCGCCCCTTCGCTGTACGAGCACCGCAGCTGGGAGTCCCCGGGACGCAGAGGGGCCTGCTGAGTGCGTAGCCCCGGGGAGGGAGAAGACACGGGGAGGCCGCCCTGGGTGCCTCCGCCCCCTGAGGCTGGCCAGCAGCGAGGCGATGCTGGGGGGGCGGCGGCGAGGAGGCAGTGGCCCCCCCTCCGCTTTCTAAGTTAGTTTAGCTCATCGGTGACATCATAAGATCGCTGTCGCCCAGGCGATGGGACGCGTTGCCATGGGAACCTCAGCGCTGGGTGGTAACACTCCTGGAACGCTGACATGGGAAACGCTCCTTTCTCTCTGGTTCTGCGAACCCACAGGGTGTGCCCAGGGGGAGGTTGTTGGGAGCAGTTGGGTCTGAAGTTTGTTACTGTGAACTCTTTGGAGAAGAGCGATGTGTGGCCCTCACATGTTTAGATTATTGACGTTTTGGGAAAGTGCTGTCATCCACAGCCAAGAGGAGCCCTCCCGGTGAAGGGCCGTGGCCACGGGAGAGGCCCGCCCCCTGTAAGCTGGGCTCGGGGCAGGTCGATGGCCCACCGCCTGCCAGGGTGGCCTCCTGAGTGGGGCACCGGCGAGTTTCGGCACAGACGCCGTCCGGCCCTTTAGGTTTCCACGTCCTGTCTCCTGAGAGGTCATAGAATCACCGCGGTCTCCTGTCGAGAAATAAGCGCCCAGCCACCGGCCATCGAGCCCCATGCGTGTTTACTGGCATGCATGCAGACACGGGCGGGCAACAGTAGGTTCAAGCCAATAATCAATAATACAACCACTAGCAGACATAGGAGTACAACACATGGTTTCCCTACTCCTAACTGCACACCTGCTTCTGCCCACCCCCTTGTGCGTATGCGTGTGGATATCCTCCCAGGCCTGTTTCCATGTTCATACATGCACACGTGTGCGCACACACACACCTCCCTATGTAGTCACTTCTCATCACCCATGGAAGCTATGCTTCAGGAAGTCACCCAAATACCGATTGGTGAGCCCTGAGCCCGTGCTCTCGGGGGAAACACAGGGTTAGGTTCCTGCCAGCTGCCGGTTCCGCGTTTCCATCCAATGATCAACGAGTCACTTTGCTCTGTGAGTGTTTCTGTTTGGAGACACCTGCTTAGTGTCTGTGCTGCTGGTCCCCACTGAGCACCGGCCAGCTGCTCTGTAACTCCAGCCCTGAGCGAGGCTGACCGGATGCAGTGTCTCCGCCAAGCCCTGGACGGCACTTCACCGGAGACTGGGGAGCCGTGAGCAGCGCACATTCTAAAGAGCATGAACCCGGGGACGATGTGGCACTAAAGAGGCCACACACGGTCACACTGATGGTGTGAGGACTGGAACCAGAGGCAGATGCTGCCTTGTCTCTCCAGCAGGGAGACCCGACCCCCTCCTCGCTGGGCGTGGAGAAAAGAATGGAGACTCCAACCTCCTCCTCCTCGCTGGGCGTGGAGAAAGGAACGGATGGGCACAGGCCCGGGAGGGCTGCGTTGGGCACAGATACATCTCAGTGCAGAGGTGACATCACACACCTGAGGGTCGACTGTGTGTCCGCACAGACACGCTCGTGCCCACGGGGTGATCCAGGGTGAGCCATGGGGACGCTCAGGGGAGACCCTCCCAGAGAGATACCCTCCGCACGTTCTTGCCATTTGAAAGCTCCCGCTAAGGCGCCCGGGAGGGAGCTCTCCATCCTTTGCCTTCACCCTCCTCACGTGACCTTCCCACACGTGGGGGCTCCCTCCTCCAGGCTGCAGATGTGGAGGGCAGTGAGATGCCTGTGGACAGCGGTCCCTGTGGGACTCGGGTGGGCGAGCCTCGTGGAAGACCCTCTGAGGCCTGAGTGTCTCACGGTCGAGTCAGCAGCTGCCCAGCCGCAGTGGGACGACGGGCACTGGATTGGCTGGGAGACCGCGCCCGCCTCGCTGGTGCAGCTGGAGGGGGGGTTCGGGTTCTCATTCATAGAACGAGGTCATAGTTTACGGGGTGCTGAGGTTCCCACGTCCTTGTGGCAAACAGAAGGGCTTCTATCGTGGACGTACGTCTGAGACACGGCGAAGGCTGTGGGAGCGGCGCTGGAACCCTTTGCTCTGAGCGCGTTCAGGGAGGAAATGCGTGTTTAATGTCTCCGTTTCCATGTGGCCTCGCCGTAATAAGGGGCTCGGTTTCTAGGAAGGAGAGGTTTAAGGCTCCTGTTATGTTTTGGGTTTTGAAAAGTTATAAGAATGAGTTTTTGAAAACATGATTCTTTAAAAAATATGTACATATATTTTTATTGATTTCAGAGAGTAAAGGAGAGGGAGAGAGAGAGAAACACCAATGATGAGAGAGAATCATGGATCGGCTGCCTCCTGCACACCCCACACTGGGGATCGAGCCCGAAACCCAGGTGTGTGCCCTGACTGGGAATTGAACTGTGACCTCCTGGTTCATAGGTCGACACTCAACCACTGAGCCGCGCCGGCCGGGCGAAAACATCACGGCTCTTATAAATCCTTTAAAGACATCACGATGAGCGAGGCTGCTGTGTGTTTTAGTGACTGAGGAAGCGTAGCCTGCAGGCCAGCCCTCCACCCGGTCCCAGCTGCTCTGATCGCACCGGTTCCCGCCCTTCAACAGCCCTGTGCCGTGGGGACCAGGGTCCCCGCTTTCCGATGACACATCGAGGCTCAGGATAGACACCAGCACGGGCCTGAGCAGCCGCTGGAACCCGGGTGCCCGACCCCCTTCTGCTTTGTAAGGCGTGACCCTCTCCATGGACTTTAGCTTTTGTCCACAAGGTTTGGAAAAATGTTTTTTTTCAATTTTTAATTCCAATCGTTGTAGGACCTTCTAATAGACGGGAATATGAAATGGAGAAAGTAAACTCATCTCACCAGGACCCAAGCTTCCTTCTCCTTGCAGAACCAAATAGACTTCCACAAACAAACCCAACACCCCCAGGAGGTTCTTAAAGGAGACGTTCAGATACAGCGTGTGCCCCCTCTGTACTGGCTGCCTGGCGTCTTCCCGCAGGAAGCTCTGTACGCAGCAACTTTGTCAGCAATTTATTGAGATGCAGTTTGACTCTGATGAGCAAAGAAAAGCTGCCATCTGCTCGCCAGCGAGCGTCGGGGGCGAGCGCACAGGCTGCCGCCCGCCCGGGCACCCCGACCGCCTGCGTCTCCGCGGGTACGTGTCGTCTCCGCTCTTTGGCCATGGCCCTTCCTGAGCCCCGACCCTGCTGGGTGGCTCCTGCCCTCCAGGGGGTAGTTCTACCCCTCACGTCGCACCCTCCAGCCAACGTGGTTACGAGCATCTAGTTCAGGCCAGACACGATCCCCGGCTCCAGGAACACAGCGGAGAGGAAACCAGGGCGCGATGCCGCCGGCTCAGTGTCGTGGGGAGGAGAGAAGGACCAGGATGGTACATTGAAACCAGCAGTAATGCCCGGCTCAGGTGGCTCAGTGGGTGAGCGTCGACCTCTGAACCAGGAGGTCAGGGCACAGGCCCGAGGTGCGGGCTCGATCCCCAGTGTGGGGTGTGCAGGAGGCAGCCCATGCATGATCCTCTCTCATCACTGATTTTCTTTTTTTTTAAAAATATATTTTATTGATTCTTTACAGAGAGGAAGGGAGAGGGATAGAGAGTTAGAAACATCGATGAGAGAGAAACATCGATCAGCCGCCTCCTGCACATCTCCTACTGGGGATGAGCCCGCAACACAGGTACATGCCCTTGACCGGAATCGAACCCGGGACCTTTCAGTCCGCAGGCTGACGCTCTATCCACTGAGCCAAACCGGTTTCGGCTCATCACTGATTTTCTAAGTCCCTCTCCCTTTCCCTTCCTCTCTGAAATCAATAAAAAATAAAATAAAATAAAATAAACCAACAGTGATAAGTCCTAAGAAGAAATAAAGCAAAAAACAAGGGTAGAGGGGCAGGTGTTCAGAATGGGGTGGGGGTAGGGCGGGAGCAAGCGAGGGACGCCTGGCCTTGTCCAGTGAGGTGCGTGTGGGCACGAGAGAGGCGGCTTACGCCCTTGGCCGATGCCTTTACTCGGAGTGACCACTGGGAGGACCCGGTCTCTGGAAACCTCCGCGGCCACAGCCTCCGCCCTCCAGGGCCTCCACCCTCCGTGGCCTCTGCCCTCCGTGGCCTCCGCCCTCCACAGCCTCTGCCCTCCACAGCCTCCGCCCTCCGTGGCCTCCACCCTCCGTGGCCTCCGCCCTCCACAGCCTCTGCCCTCCGCAGCCTCCGCCCTCCACAGCCTCCGCCCTCCGAGGCCTCCGCCCTCCACAGCCTCTGCCCTCCGAGGCCTCCGCCCTCCACAGCCTCCACCCTCCGTGGCCTCCGCCCTCCACAGCCTCTGCCCTCCGCAGCCTCCGCCCTCCACAGCCTCCACCCTCCGCGGCCTCCTGGGGCAGGAGGGCCCGGCTCCACCGAGGTGACATTACGTCCGTTAGCTCTACCAGGGATGTGTCAGGCCGCCCTGACGAGTGACCCAAAGGGCCGATGAGAGATGAGCGCAGCCGGAGATTCAAACAGAAAGAGGGGCAGCCAGGTTGCTGGGCAACCGGCTGCGTCAGCGGCGGGGATGCTATTTTTACTCCGAGGAGGTGGCGAGGTGATTTTGTAACCAACTCCCAAGGGGGCCGGGTCCTCCTGGAAGGAGCCACACCAGCCACGGGGCCTCTCGGGTCCCGGCCTCTGCACCCCTGAGGCTCAGGCCCACCCCGCCTCTGCCCCAGGAGCCCCCCCAGGGTGTCCCTCAGGCCCCCGAGCTCCCGCTGCAGAGCACAGCCACGGGCATCAGTCTCGGCGACTCTTCCCGGGCTGGACACGCTGCGGGCAGGGCGGCCCCCCCACCCGGTCCCGCTGTGTCCTGCACGGGTGTGGGCAGCCTCCGGGAAGGGATGAATGAGCCAGTGAGGACCCGGCTGGTGTCAGTGGATTGGATCCGATTGGTATTAAATGTCAAGTCAGCACGTGGCAGGTCAGGCCCTGGCTGGTGTGGCTCAGTGGATAGAGCATCGGCCTGTGGACTGAAGGGCCCCGGTCGATTCCGGTCAAGGGCATGTACCTCGGTTGCAGGCTCCTCCCAGGCCCAGGCCCTGGTCCGGCGCGTGCAGGAGGCAACCAGTCGATGTGTTTCTCTCACGTCGATGTTTCTCTCTCTCCCTCTCATCAATGGAAACATGTCCTGGGTGAGGATTAGCCACAAACACAGACACGTGGGGGGTCCCCGGTGTTTCCAGTTGCTGACGAACGTGTTCTGCAGCAAGAAGCACCCGATTCTGGCAGCCACGGGTGGAGTGTCCCCCCAGATTAGCCAGCACACTCACTCCCCCCCCCCCGCCAGTCTACTGACGCCGTCTCCCAAAGCCGGGACAGAGAGAAACATCGACGTGAGAGACACACAGCGAGAGAGACACACAGCGACTGGCCCGGGCCTGGGAGGAGCCTGCAACCGAGGTACATGCCCTTGACCGGAATCGACAGGGGCCCTTCAGTCCGCAGGCCGATGCTCTATCCACTGAGCCACCTCCAGCTCCCCCGCCTCCCACTGGGACCAGGAGGCTGGGAGCTGGGTGCCTGTGGGCGAGGGGCCGGCAGCTCCGTTCAGAGCGCGGGCGGGTTTTTCTCAGTTATTTCCCTCCTTTTCAACATTGTCGGGACCGAGCCTGAGGGGTGCGGGCTGGGAGCCTGAGGGGTGCGGGCTGGGCCGGTAGGGAAGAGCTGTTCTGTCTTTTCTGCAAAAAGCTTTATTGCTTCCGTTTGGGACTCGGATGGATGGAGAGGCTGGGAGTGGGGGGTGGGGGTGGGGCTGAAAGGCTGCCTGGGTTGCAGGAGAGGCTCAGGCAGGGGGGCCTCCAGGGGCACAGAAGCCCCAAGGCCTCGGGGCTGCTAGGTCTCTTTCATGCCGAGGCAGAGCACCCCGATGGGGCATCGGTCTCTGCGACTCTTCCTGGACCCGACGTGCTGTGGGCAGGGCTGTCCCCGCCCCCGCTGTGTCCTGCACACGGCACAGCAGCTGCCCACACCTCCGGGGAAGGGACGGACGAGCCAGTGAGAACCCGGCGCTGTCAGTGGATTGGCTCCGATCGCTGTCAACTCAAGTCCGCACGTGGCGCCTCAGGTGTTTCTAGTTGCTGAGGAGCGTGTTCGGCAATAAACCCCGGGGGTGCGGGGAGCCTTTCACAGACACACCTGCCCGCGCGGGGCAGCGCGGAGGGACCATCTCGCCATGCGTTTCACCTGCTCCCAGGAGCCGCTCTCAGGGGTCGTGGGGCTGGGGCTGCGGGGGCAGAACCTGGGCTGCAGGTCCCCAGGACCACGTGGCCTCCCTGGCATCCTGAGGGCCCCCCACGCATCCCGGGACGGCCCCTGCAGGTCCTGGAAGAGGGCCTGGTCACCATGCTCACTGGCCGTGCGTCTTCGAGAGCCGCTGGGCCCCGCGGCATCTCCTCGGCCAACGAGGGGGAGAGGCCCGCGCCCTTCGGAGACACATCGTGGCCGGAGACAGAAGCTGAGAGAGAGGTAGGTGGGGGCTGCAGATGCCAGCGGTGCCCAGGCAGTAGGCGGCCAGGCGGTGCCCAGGCGGCTGACGGCCTCCATATGGAGTAGCTCTGAGCCTCTGGAGCTCACGGCTGCCTGCGGAGGGAGTTAAGGCATGAACCCGTGTTGCTGGTCTCGGAGGCCGAGTGGGAAGGAGGTCGAAGGCTGGACGCCCCAGGCCTGAGGACCCCGAGGGCGGGGTGCAGGGAGCCCTGTGTTCACACACCTCTGGTGGGGACACGGGCAGCTGCAGCCGCGTGGGGCAGAAGAGGCGCAGCTGGTTCCTCTGTAGCCACGGCTGCTCTGGATGCACCCGTGAGGGCGCCCGGGGCTCCTGGTGCCCGGGCGTCAGTCCGCGCGGGGCCAGGGCTCAGAGACGATGGGCGCTGTTCTCAGGGTTCCGGAGGTGAAGCCGCGGTCGGGGCGCAGCAGGTCCTGCTGGGGGAGGGCCCCCCTCCCGATGCTGACTGCCGCCTCTGGCGTGTCCTCACGTGGCACGGGTGCTCCTGCCCGTCCTCAGGGCGCGGATCCCACTCCTGGAGCGGCACCCTGGGGACCGCGTCACCTCCCAGCCCCCCTCGTCGCCCCGCATTCGGGGCAGGGCTGGGGGGCGAGGGCCCCGGATCCTGAAACTCACCGTGACCCCGCCATGGACGCGAGCCCGGGCCGCTCCGGTGAGAGACGTCGGGCCGGCCCCACTCCCCGCTGCTTCCCAGCCGCCTGCAGGGCCTGTGTGACGCTCCCTCACCGGCGTTAAAACGGGCAGGACAGCACGGCTTCAGGCCGTAAAGTCTATGGGACACGATGGGCCTCGGTCACCAGGACGGAGAAGGGCCTGTGCCTGCCCACGGCGCCGCTGCCAGCGCGGTTCAGGCTCCCCCGGTTAGAGACGCCGCCACGAGAGAGGGCGGTGGCGGAGGGGTGGGCTGCTTTCTGTTCTCCCCTAAATTCGAGGGGTGGCCGCCCGGGACCCACGGGGACCCCTGAGCCGTGGGCGCGGGAGGCCTGCAGGGGGGGATCACCTGCGGCCGAGTTTGCTGTGGAGACGACACACACTGTATGTTTCTAGAGCAGCTTGAGGGTCACAGCAGAACAGCAGGAAGGACAGCGCTCCACAGAGCCCCTCCCCCGGGCCCCCTGGGACCCCCAGACGTCACCTGTCACTGCCAGGACCCGGGCACGTCATCACAGTGGTGCTCAGGTTCGGAGGGGAGGGAGGCGGCCGACACACTCATGACCTTCCTGTGAGGCCCACGCACAGCCCTGTGGGTCCCGCCCTGAGGACTTGGCACTTGAAGGGCTGCGGCCGCCACCCCAGAGGCTGTGGGGTGACCTGCCCTGCCGGCCCCCCTAAAACGTCCTGCCTAGAAAGCCAGCCCCACTGCCCAGGACCAAGGGCCCCCTCTTCCTTCCTCCTCGTGTGTGTCTGCTGCCACCCAGTGGGAGAGGGCGCAGGTGTCTGCTCCCCCAGTCCCGCCCCCGGCCCTTTGCGTTTGTCTCACGGGTTCCCTGTGACGGAGAAACCGGGCGAGGCTTCCTTTTCTCAGAAAATGCTGTTTTCTGAGCCGGGAGACCGAAGCTCAGCCCCGTCCCCGGCGGCTGGTCATCACAGGGTCTGTATCTGTGCGACGTTTTCGTTTTCTGCGAGAAGCGGACTTTTCACCGTTCTTAGCAGACGTTTAAAACATGCGCCCTTGGAATTCCCACAGGACCGATTTTTAGAAGAATCCAGCCTAGTGTATTTTTAGTTGTTCATTCATGTTCCTTCACAGCATGCGTTTCAGGGAATTGGTCAGCAAGACAGAAAGGGAAAAGGCGGCCTGATTTCATCATCCAAACGTAAGACCAGGTTTCTGGTCCCAAGTTTAACAACGCTCCCTTCTCCCTCCTCTGGAAACCCGTCTTCAGCTCGTCTTTACGGCAAGACTTTAAGTCAAGTTCAGATACTGAGCGTGATCCTAAACGGGGGTTTGGTTTTGTTATAAGGAAAGTTTTTTCCCCATGTCTGTCGATTTTATGTTTTATATTTTGACTTTACATATTTTTTATTTTTCAATGACAGTTGACAGAACACTGGCTTCCAGTGTCCACAGTGACTGGACACTGTGTAACCCAAGTGGTCACCCCGGGGGTGCAGTGCCCGTCTGACACTGCACATAGTGATTACATGTCATCGACTGTATTCCCTGTGCTCTGCTTTCTATCCCCTAACTACCGATTTGTACTTCCTAACCCAGCCGTGGGCAAACTACGGCCCGCGGGCCGGATCCGGCCCGTTTGAAATGAATAAAACTAAAAAAAAAAAAAGACCGTACCCTTTTATGTAATGATGTTTACTTTGAATTTATATTAGTTCACACAAACACTCCATCCATGCTTTTGTTCCGGCCCTCCGGTCCAGTTTAAGAACCCATTGTGGCCCTCGAGTCAAAAAGTTTGCCCACCCCCCTCAGCTTTCTCGCCCACCCTCCGAAGCCCCTCCCCTCTGGAAACCCCTGCCTGCACCCCGGACTGTGACTCAGCCATAACCAGGAATGAGGTCCTTCATCTGCACACATGACGGGACCTCGAGGACACTGTGCTGAGTGAAGTCAGAGAAATGCAAACGCCATGTGATTTCACTTACATGCGGCACTAAAACCAAAATAGAGGGACAACTAGAACCGAAACAGACTCGTGGGGACAAAAGCAGGTCTATAGTTGTTCATAAGGAAAATAATGCAAGAATTAATAAGTAATAATAGAAGAATAAACTCTGTGCTTTGTGTACTCAAAGCTGTAAGCCTACTTCCCCCACCCTGTAGGCACCCCTGTGTCCATCCCTCTGCCAGGGGCTGGGCTGCTTCCACGTCGTGGCTGTTGTAAATAATGCTGCAATGGACGCATGGATGCGAGTCTTCTCCCGTTTGGGGTTTCTTCCTATAAATATCAGAAGTGGACTTGCTGGGCCCTTCTTTGTCTCTTGTTATAGCCCTTGTTTCAAAGCCTGTTTTGTCTGGTATAAGTATTGCCCCCTGAGCTTTCCTTTGCTTGTTTCCACTTTCATGAAATATCCCTTTTCATCCCTTTGCTTGCAGTCTGTGTGTCTTTCTATCTGAAGTGAGTCTCTTGTAGACAGTATATGTCAGGGTCTTGTTTTCTTATCCATTCAGCCTTGATATGTCTTTTGATTGAGCGTTTAAGCCATTTGCATTTAAGGTAATTATTGATAAGTATGTATTTATTGCCATTTTATTATTCACGTTTTAAAAAATATTTCCCCGTTCTTTTTCTTCTTAAAGAAGACCTGTAACATTTCTTGTAACACTGGTCTGGTGCTGATGAGGTCCCATCGCTCTTCTTGCCTGGGCAGCTCTTTATCGCTCCTTCGATTCTTAATGATGGCTTTGCTGGGTGGAGTAATTTTGGTTTTACGGTCCAGGAGGGCAGAAATACAGCTCACTGACCCTGCCGCTTCCAACGCCTGCCCAGGGCCTCACCTGTTTATAAGATGTCTATAGTGGACAACAGACCCGCTGTGGCCAGTGTACCTCTCGCAAGTGGGTGGAACCATTGGTGGAATATTTCAAATTATTCAAATTATTAGTGACATTGGTGAACGAAGTCAATTCTTTTTTTTTTTAAATATATTTTATTGATTTTTTACAGAGAGGAAGGGAGAGAGAGATAGAGAGTTAGAAACATTGATGAGAGAGAAACATCGATCAGCTGCCTCTTGCACATCTCCTACTGGGGATATGCCTGCAACCCAGATACATGCCCTTGACCGGAATCGAACCTGGGACCTTTCAGTCTGTAGGCCGACGCTCTATCCACTGAGCCAAACCGGTTTCGGCACGAAGTCAATTCTTGCTAAGTTCGAAATAGCTCAATTGCTTTTCTCTATTTCATGAGGGATCACGAATGCAAACTTATCCGAACCCTGAGTAACACTTACAAAGCGTTCATCCTCACATGGTATTTGTGACCGTACCCTCCTCCGTGTGTGATGACAGATGATGGCCTGTACAGGGCAGAAATACAGGCAGAAAGTTCTTTCTACGTAAATACAAGGGTCCCTCCACTAGTCTGCTTTCTCTTACTTCACTTTCTTCCTCTCTCTCCACGCACATTCACAACTAGACGTGCACATATTCACACACATACGTGCATGCACACACCCTCGCACACCCATACACACAAACACACGTGTGTGCACACGCACACACATATACAGTAGGAACCTAACAGGATGCCTAGACGGGCTGCAGAAACTTGAGTGGCACCAAGTCTTTTTACTCAGGCTCAATTCTGACGTCAAAATATTGGTTCCTTAAACACATTTAATTATTGACATTGAGGAAATTACGTGATTGAAAAAACCCCGAAAACCTTGAATCTGACCTGTAGGGGATCCAGCCCTAATGAGGAGAACTGGGCGGGGCCCGCTGGGCGGCCTCCTCCTCCCGGCGGCAATCCCGCCGCTGGCCAGCAGAGGGCGGCCTCCTCCGGCAGCGGCTCTTCCAAACCCAGGGCGGAGAAAAGCCCATCCCACTGGGAATGAAGGGAATGAAAGGTGTTTTGGGAACGTGTCCCTCTGAGGCAGGGTCTCCAGGTGCTTCAGTCACGCCGGCTCCAGGATGAGGCATTTTTGGAGGCCCCCCCTCCCCGCCCCCCGTCTCCTATCGAGGCAGAATCGCAGAGATGTGCAAACACGCAAAACTCTCCTTATAGTGACCACTCTCATCACTGATTCTTTCTCTCTCTCTCCCTCTCCTTTCTTCTCTGAAATCAATAAAAATAATTTAAAAACAACAACAAGCAAGGAATCTGGCGTTGGCGAGTGCGCTGCTGTCTTCTGAAAACAAATGTGCTCCCGTGTGGCCCCGTGGCCCCAGCCCACGCCTGTCATCTGTGTGGCCCTGTGGCCCCAGCCCGCACCTGTCATCTGCGTGGCCCCGTGGCCCCAGCCCGCGCCTGTCATCTGTGTGGCCCCGTGGCCCCAGCCCGCATCTGTCATCTGCGTGGCCCCGTGGCCCCAGCCCGCGCCTGTCATCTGTGTGGCCCCGTGGCCCCAGCCCGCACCTGTCATCTGCGTGGCCCCGTGGCCCCAGCCCGCGCCTGTCATCCGCGTGGCCCCAGCCTGCACTTGTCATCCGCGTGGCCCCGTGGCCCCAGCCCACGCCTGTCATCCGCGTGGCCCTGTGGCCCCAGCCCGCGCCTGTCATCTGTGTGGCCCTGTGGCCCCAGCCCGCACCTGTCATCTGCGTGGCCCCGTGGCCCCAGCCCGCACCTGTCATCTGTGTGGCCCTGTGGCCCCAGCCCGCACCTGTCATCGGCCTCCGGAGCGCCTGAGCCTAGAGGGGCGCTCAGACCCTCTGCAGAGCCCGGGTCAGTACAGGCCTCGGGTTCCGGGAGGGGCCGAGCCTGGGGCTCCCTGTGCTCCGGGTTGTGGCATTCACTCCAGCAGGTTCCCCTTTGTCCTCCATCGTCCATCTCGGGCTCATGTTTCCTCCTCCTCAAACCTCTGGTGGAGAAACCCTCTCCTTCTTGGGGTCCTTGAGGGGTTCCTACCCCTGGATTTTGAACCGAAACAAGGCTCAGCACCCCCCCCCCCCTGGACTGGCCAGGAGCCGGATGAGAGGGGCTGGGGGGCCACAGGAAGAGGAGCCCTCCTGCCCGAAGGGGCAGGGCCTCCTTCCCGTCCTGGGTCCCTGGACGGCTCTCACCTGCCTGCCAGCCAGTGGGGCAGCCGCCGTCCGGGTCTGCGTGTCTGCAAACGGAATAACGTGCCACGTGGGGCGTTTCTTGTTTAAGGACGGTTTCCTGGGATGATGCTTCGCTGACCTGTAACTACCTCACTCCGCAGTGATGTGCTCCGACGCGGGTGAGTGCTAGCCAGAGGCTTCTCTCACAATCTGCGTGTTCCCTAGAGCTGTCCTGGGTGTGCTTGCCCCCACAGGCCACAGCTCCGGCCTCGGGGTGAAGTCGCAGCCGGCCTCTACCCTCCCCTCTGCTAGGGACAGTCAGCTTCCTGGAGGAACACACAGAGCCCATTCTGTGGAGCCATGACCTCAGCAGAGACAGAGCTGCCGATGGGCCGTTGTGTGTCCTGCCGTCTGCTCTGTGTCGTCCCACCCTGGTCCAGCTGGTGTGGCCAGACCACGGAGGACACGGAGGACGGGGCTGGGAGAAAGTAAGTCGGTGTATATTTTCACGGTTTGATAAGAACACTTTTGGAGGCGCACCCGCCGAGCTAGTCGAGTTCTCTGGGAAGTCTGAGGTCGCCCGGGTCCCAGCAGCTCCTCGCGGAGGCGGAGGTGGAGGCGCAGCGCAGGGGACGCAGGGAGCGGGTGAGAATTCTGCGCCCGCCCTCCAGGCGCTATTTACAGCAGGTTCTTTGCATATGAACTCATGAATCCCGGTGACACCTCGGGGGAAGGTAGGCGGCCGGATGACTCACTGGAGGCCACAGGGGTCAGCGGCGGAGTGTGGCAGGTGGAGGCGAGTTGCGGCACTTTCCAGAGAGTCTTTCCTCCGCTCGCGGCCTGGCCACCAGGAGGGGTGACCGCTGGGCAGTCCTGTGCCACCTGTCCTCACACCCCCCCCACCTGGGTGGCAGGCTCCTCCCCATCGGGGCTCACGCAGGAGACAACCAATGGATGTGTCTCTCTCACATCGATGTTTCTCTCTGTCTCTCCCTCCCACTCTCCCTAAAAGTCAATGGAAAAATATCCTCGTGTGAGGATGAACAACAACAAAAAGACGGAGGCAGCCCCGCAGCCCTCAGGCCCGAGAGCGACTTTGTCATGAGCGGATCCCAGCGACTCTGTCATGAGCGGATCTCAGATGAGTTAAGTGCATTAGCCTGCGTTCAAGTTCTCCCCCGCGAGCAGTGCCGCCTCCTGTGCTCCTGCAGGATCACAATGATCAGTAATTAACGTTCCAGGCTCGTCACTGAGGCGGTTTCTTCTCGGCTGTCAGGGTGATGGCCGTCGCTTTGTTCTGAGAGGGCAAAGGGCAGGAGGGCGGAACCCTGAGGCAAAGGCGAGCTGCCGGCGCCCCCACTGGGTCTGAACCCGCTCGCTTGGGCCGCGGTGGGACCGGAAGCTTCTGGGTCCGAGATCAGCTGTGGTTCTACGTCCTCCCTTTCAACTCTGGGCGTTGATGGAGCCCTCACAGCCCATCCGTCTTTCATTCCCTGAATAGCGGGCACGTGAGCCACCCCCAGCCCCCCATCCAGATCCCCGGGGGCCGCATGCCTTCCCGCTACAGTGAACTGCATGTTGGCGAAGCGCGAAGGCTGGGAGATGTGCTATGAGCGTGGAAGGCAGGCCGCAGAGCATGCTGTCGAAACCACATGCCCACGCCCTCTCGCCGGTGTTACTAGCATTCCCTGGGCAGGCGCCCTCGGCCAGGCCCTCGGCCAGGCGTCCACCGGGCGCAGACGGTCTGCCCTGCTGAGTGCTGCCCCGGGACCGGCGGACTCTGAGGAAATTAGTGAGCGAGGCTGTCACTGTCCCCATGTCTGGTGGTCGGTTTGCGTGCGTCTCAGTTTCTGCCGCGGGAAAGGGAGCGCTGGCCACCGTCCACGTGTACCTGCCTCTCCGTGTGCACAGCCTCCTGCAAACTCATTTCTCAAAGTCTGCTCAGGCCCGGCTGGCGCGGCCCAGGGGTTGAGCGTCGACCTATGAACCAAAAGGTCCCAGGTTCAACTCCCGGTCAGGGCACAGGCCCGGGTTGCGGGCTCGATCCCCAGTAGGGGGCGTGCAGGAGGCATCCGGTCCATGATTCTCTCCCATCACTGATGTTTCTCTCTCCCTCTCCCTTCCTCTCTGAAATCAATAAAAAATAAAAAGGAGGGCGAGGGGGAAGCCGAGGAACAAAAGGATGTTCAGGCGCCTCGCACCTTCACCCGTCGCCCGACGGGACACCGCGTCTCCTCAGAACAGTTTCCGGTGCTGCGCCCGTTCATTCAGCGATTTACTGAGCATCCACTCTGCCTGGCTCTGTGCGAGCTGCTGCTGTGATCCGATAGGACCCGGGCCCTTCCCGGGGGCTTCCCGTCCGGGTGTGTGTGTGTGTGTGGGGGGGGGGCGGCACAGGGCAGAGAAGGGAGCGCCGGTCACGAAGAACAATGTCACAGGGTCGCCTGGTGTCGCCTCGGTTGCTAACGAAGCTTCGGCAGAACAGGAAGCCCCTTGCGAAGGCGCTCCTGGCAGTTCCGCTCGGCGTGGTCCACACGCGTGTTTCTCACGAGTGTGCTTGTCGTCATGTTGGGGCAGCTGGCTCTCGTGTAGAAGTTAATCGTTGGACCCGTTCCCTGAAGCTGTGAGAGTCAGAGACCCTGTGGGCCTGGGATGGGGCTCCTGGGCGCTGATTGCTCGATGCAAAGTCTGCATTAGGCGTTTTCTCTGCCGCGCGAATGTCATGCTTTCTCCTCGACGGCTGCTTCTGAGGTGCTGCCGGCGCACGGGCCACCCGCAAGGTGTTTTCTGAGGCTGCACGTTTGAGTGCCTGCGTCTGTCAGCATCAGAGTCTTAGTGCTTTTCAATTGCCGAAGCCACGAAGAGATTTACGATGCCAGAGGCGATCGGTACTCGGTTTAACGGTGAGCCGACCAGCGCGCAATAAAGGGCGTTGGCCGTGGCTGAGGTTAGGAGTCGACCGTATTGTTCACTTGACTTACGCCTCGTGGGGGCCCTTGTAACGGGGATCGATCTCAGATCACGGACGAGGCTGCACAAGGACCCTCTCCACTCGCCGGATCTCGGCATTTCCCGGGACCCGAAGGCCATCCGGCCAGCCCGAGCCCGCAGCTCGGTGACCCCTGGGGCCGTTTAACTTCTGAGAGGATCACATCCCCACGTTAACCAACGAGCGGGGCTCGCAGCTCGTCGCTCCTGCCACTCCATCTCCGGCTTCTCTTCCGTTAGACCAGTGGTCGGCAAACTCATTAGTCAGCAGAGCCAAATATCAACAGTACGATTGAAATTTCTTTTGAGAGCCAAATTTTTTAAACTTAAACTATATAGCTAGGTACATTGTTATTAACTTCATTAGGGTACTCCTAAGGCTTAGGAAGAGCCACACTCAAGGGGCCAAAGAGCCGCATGTGGCTCGCGAGCCGCAGTTTGCCGACTACGTTGTTAGACGAGATGGGACTCGGGCTCCCCGCGTGGACGCTCGTCCTGAGCTCTGCGTGTGAGCACGTGTGTTCCAGACCCGGGAAGGGGCCTCCCGTGTGGACGACGCCCCACGCAGGCGTGCCGTTCGCTGCAGAGAAGTAAGAGGATCAGGGTCCAATGTGAGCGCCTCGTGGTCAGGATTCCTGCTTTAGGGCCAACCCGCCTTTTCCGTTCACTGAGTGAGCCCAGTATCCGAGGCGGGTGGTTCTGGGTCCCAGGGTGCAGTTGTCACCCCAGCATCGAGGTCCTCGAAGGTCCCGGTGCCGCAGGAGCCGGAGTCTCAGGGATGTCCTAGGGCAGTGGTTCTCCACCTTCTGGCCCTTTAAATACAGTTCCTCATGTTGTGACCCAACCATAAAATTATTGTCGTTGCTACTTCATAACTGTAATGTTGCCACTGTTATGAATCGTCATGTAAATATCTGATATGCAGGATGGTCTTAGGCGACCCCTGTGAAAGGGTCGTCCGACCGCCAAAGGGGTCTCGACCCACAGGTTGAGAACCGCTGGCCTAGG